ATTATTTAAAGTTAGTATGTTCTCGTCATTTTCTACTTCCTCTTTGGCCCGTGAGGGTTTAAAATGAATAAAACAACATTTCTTAATGTTAATATGTAATAAGTTTAGTTTCATATACTTGTACACAAATGATAGAACTTCATTTCCTTTTTCGTATAGTCTTTTGACACATGTGTCTTCTATAAATATGTTAGTGTCGTCGGCAAATAGTATAAACTTTCCTATAATTGATGAGTTACGGATGTCATTAATATAAATAATAAAAAGTAAGGGACCAAGACAGCTCCCCTGCGGCACTCCATAGACTACTGGAAGTTTCTCGGATTCTTCACCTAATACCGAGACATACTGGTATCTGTTCGACAGGTAACTTGCTATAAGGTTATTTGCATTTCCACGGATTCCATAATTTTCTAACTTATGCAGTAACTTTTCATGTGATATTGTATCAAAGGCTTTACTAAGATCAATAAATATTCCAAGAACGTGTTGTTTTTTCTTGAGGCAAGATTCTACGTGGTTCACTGAGTAATTTAGGGCATAACTGGTCGAGTGATTTTTACGGAATCCGTACTGGTTTTCATATAAGGAGTTCTGTGAATGGAAGAAGCTGTATAATCTATTGAATATAATCTTTTCAAATATTTTACCAAACACAGCTAGCGTTGATACAGGTCTATAGTTTTCAAGGAGTTCCTGGTTATCTTTCTTGTAAATGGGACTAATCCTTCCAACTTTAAGGTCATCTGGAAATATGCCATCTTTCATACATTCGTTATACAGTACAGTGAGTAAAGGAGTAACTATTTTAGAGGACTGCTTAATTACATGAATCGGTATGTCACTTGCCTTGCCATTTTTAAGTTCAGATATGATTTTGCTAACCTCGTCTGTTGTGCAGTCATGCATGTAAATGCTGGAAGTGTTTGAAAGCGGTAGATAATCATAGAAACTAGGTATACTGTTTATGTTAATTTGTCCAAGATCATTGTAAGCGGTATTTAGGTCAGAGGCTAATGATACAAAATATTTATTGAATTCGTTTGCTATGATCCTTCTATTTGTTATCTTAACGTTGTCTATGGTGAACAGCGGCTTTATTTCACGCCGCCGTTTACCTCTTATACGATTTATTAGTTCCCAGGTCTTTTTACTATCACCGCTATTTTCAGCAAATTTACCAGAGAAGTATTCTGTTTTCACAGTTTGACGTGTTTTCTTTAGGACTTTTCTGTATTCTTTGTAGATAAGGTAGCGACTACGTTTTAGTGAGCATTCAGGGCACTGGCAAATGCCGCCCTTGTTATCAGTTTCCCCGAGTTTACATTTTCTATTTCTTATCTCAACCCAATTTTCGTACAGTTTATGCTGATTATTAATTGAGCAAATGAGACCGGGAGTTATCCAAGGGTTAACCTGAATAGTTCTCTTAGAGGTTTTCGGGGTCTCTAATTTAAACGATTTTTCGACGCAGTTTTTGTAAGTGTCATGGAATTCAGTAAAGTTATGGATTGTTTTAGTTTTAAGCTCATCTTCAAGATCCACTAGGAAGCCGTTAACATTTGATTGACAGAAGTCGTAATATTGTTTAAAAGAAGTTTTTTCAGAGTTGACTTCAACATTCCAGTTAAATGTGTTAAAAATAGGTGAGTGATGAGTTATTCGTTCTTTTAGGGTGCCTGAAGTAATCACATTCTCAATATCGTTAGTAATAATGTTATCTATGCAGGATGCTTTACAGCCTGGTTTTTCGTGGGTAACAATTGATATTAACGGACAAAATCCTTTACTGAATAATATTTCTTCATATTTTTGAACATTTTTGTTATCTTTATCATGAAGATCGATATTAAAGTCTCCAGCTAGATAACTAAACTTCGGCATGTGATCAAGAAGGTTAGAAAGTTCAACTAGAGCTTGAGAAATACAGCCACTTGGTGGACGATACAAAACACCTACATTAACAGGTTGATCTTCGTTACTTAATGATAAGACAAGTATTTCTAGATGTTCTGTGACTTGTGATATATTCTCAATTACAGTAGCATTTAATTTATCGTCAACATAAAGGGCTACTCCAGTGCCCTTTTGTTTGTTAGGTGCTGTGTCCTGATAGTAACTATTATAACCGTCGAGCTGAAATAGATTGCTTAATTCTTTTCCAGTGTTGGTTTCAGCTAGGGCTATTACGGAGAATTTTGTTTTGTACCTACAGGTTTCAATGGCAAGGTTGTCAAAATTTGATTTATTTCCATCAATATTTTGAAAGAGAATAGATGATTGTTTCTTTACTTGGTTGCAGAGAATATTTGTAAGGTCAGATGCAGTGTATGAGTTACAATCATTTAAAGTATTTGAGATTTTGGTTGTGTATTCGTCTAGGTTGTTGTCGTCGTCGTCATTGTCAGTGAGTAGTTTAAATGGGTTGTATTTAACCTTGTCTAAATGGATACAACGAGTACAGTAAAACTCATTAGATTGGCTATTTGGATTTGATTTGCGATAGCATTTATGGTGCATTATGCAGTCACAGTGAAAACATTCAACTATTGTTTGGCCGATGACTATGTTCTTAGAACAGACAGGACATACCTCCTTAATGAGGGGAGTCATGGTTGGTAACCATCCACGTGACCCTGACTAGCAGCAGCAGGAACAACAGGACCAGTTTCTCTTCCAGCAGTCGCATCCCTGTAGGATCTATCGTCTACCCTTGTGGACCTCCTCTTCCTTTTGTCGATACCACCGTTAATCCTGAGAAGAACAGTGTTACGAATAAATTGACCTAACTTTGCTAGTCCCCTCCAGTTGAGGTGAAGGAAGTCCGGTTTTTGGTATTTGTTGAGGTCGCGAGAGAGAGAGCGGTCAAGGAGACCATCCCTATCACAGAACTCATCAAATCCATCCACATAACTGACACCAAAATTGGACGGGAGCAGCCTACATCGAATCAAACTGTTAAAGTATATAAGCTTTCTATTTAAATCAGCACGTTTAGAAGGAATTGTTGGACAAACATATACATGCACACCCGGATTAATAGATTGAATCTGGGCAATTTTTGAAACTAGATGGTTGTAGATTATATCAATATCGTTTTGGCTTTTTACATCTGTTTGTTTCAGGTCATTAACCCCACACAATATAACACAGTTTCTATAGCCACAGGACACATAAGGATCAATGCTATCGACAGTTGGGGCAAAGAATCGTTTTCCAGGAAGCCATTTGCCGAATGACTTGGCAGGATCAGAACCGAATTTCAGTCCGCCGGTGTTCGAGTCCCCAATGATACATGTAGCGTTTCTATTCAGGGAACTGACTGATCTCAATGTTATACTGTAGCGCAGCCCAGTTATCTCGCCTGCATCGATACGATGGTGGAACAGTGCTTGGCTACGACGAGTCATTACATATAATGATCCTGGGCCACATAGTTGCTTGTGCTCATCAATACCTGTACTAGCATCAGAGAAAGAAACATGACATGCAGTACCAAGAGAGACTGTAAAGATACTTGATTCCGGGTGGATAGAAGGCTCGTTATCAGAGTGTCTAGGCAAGGTGCTGCTTGTGCCGTCAAACCGATTCACCAAACAGCTGTTAACCTGAGGTTGGTCACCTGAACAAAACTCACTGTTGATTCTGTCGATGAGTTTTCTCAAGGGTGGTGGTATTGCCTTTGGTGTCTTGGACGACTTAGATCCAGGATAATCGTACCGTTCCCCATATGATAGGCAGGAGCGTTCGTTTTCAATTTTGAAGTCTGTGCTGCTCAAATCAAATAGGTCAACTAGTTCTTCCGCAGTCTTCTGATCTATAAAATCGTTTTTGAACAGTTCCACAGGTTTCTGCTCATGATGAGGTGGCTGCAAAAGGACAGGTGGTGCTGGAGGACGAGGATGCTGTGCAGGAGGTAGGTTGGGAGGAATGCAAGGACCAGGGTTATGCAATGGCTGTATAGAACTTATAGACTGTTTTAGTTCAGCAATGCCTGCAGCTACAGTGGGCTCATTTGCAGAAAGTGCGGTGAGTTGTTCTGAGATGCTCTTCAGAAACTGCTCAGATGAGTCTGTAGATGGGGATGATTCAGGGGAAGGTCTAGATGCTAAAAGTTTAAGGTCCCTCTGTAGTTCAGCAATGTTGGTATTTATTGATTCTAATGATTTGTCATGGAGCTTTATTTCATTATTTAGGCCATTAAGGGAGTTCTCTTTAAGAAGCAGGTGTTGAAGGTGAACGTCGAACTGGGAGAGAGTGTCAAGGTTCCTAGAGAACTGTTCGAAGTCAAATTTTTCAAGAGCTGAGCCTGCTGAGCTTGCTGATGCCACAAGTGCACTGACAGTTTCAAGATTCTTAACAGCTGTAGATGCTTCAAAATCTGAGTTGGCCTGTTGCAAAGCCCTTGTGTTCCTGCAGCTGTAACAAAATTCGTCTCTCTGTTTCTTCAGTGTTGATACTGGTGCCACGAAGCAGTATGGGCACAGCCATTCTACCATGGAGTTGATAGCTGACCTCGTTATACCTTTCATAGACAGGCAGTCCACATGCCACTCTTGATGACACTTAGAACAGTCAATGAGGTAAACTTTACCGTTAAAAGAGCGTTGACATGGACATTTCTTCTTGTCCCTATGTTTCCTGTTTACCTGATCTTCATTGTCCACTGTAGATTCGGCTAAAATGTTGCGAGACAAGCTATTAGATGTTTTAGGAGTACCTGAAGTCTTCCTAGAATTTGACGCCATTTTCAAATCAAATGTAAGTAATACTGACCAAATAGATCCGACTTGGGGTCGGCTCCCGTTAAGTGTTTTGTTTTGGAGGAGATTAGGACTTCAGAGTTGATGACCCTAGTAAAGTGTAGATGACCCTCAAATTATTTGTTATATAGTAGTGTTGAAAGTTATTAATTACAATATTCTGTCATACGATTGCTCTTACTAATATAATATAATACCTTAATACTAAGAATTTGAATGTAAAACGGGTACAATTGCAGTATATGTTACCGTGCAGAGAAAGATTGGTCTCAACTGAGAAATGTGGAGTTCAAGAAGACCTATTTTACTGGTATTCTCTTGCCAAGAAAAGTATTATTGAGCTGCAACATCCTGTTACTGGTCTTATTCCTGCTCATCCGGGTGCAGACACATGGGTTCGCGATTGCACTTACGCACTTCATTCCTTGTGGGCATTGTCATTAGCTTTTGAAAAGCAGCTCTCTGCGACTAATCGTAGTTTCTACCATGAATTGAAATTTCGAACCATAAAAGGCATGCGAGGTTTGTTACAATCATTGATGAATCAAAAAGATAAGGTCATGAAATTCAATGCCTCTCAATCATATTTGGATTGTTTGCATGCCAAATATGATACTAGCACAGGGCAACCCGTTGTTGGTGACGATGAATGGGGACACTTGCAGCTTGATGCAACATCTTTATATGTGTTGACTTTGGCTCAAATTACCTCATCAGGTTTCGTTATTGTGCAATCTCTTTCAGAGGTTGACTTTATTCAAAGCCTGGTATTGTACATACATTTTGCCTATCAGACCCCTGATTATGGTGTGTATGAGCGTGGTGACAAGAATAACCGTGGTATCAGGGAACTTAGTGCTTGTTCTGTTGGTATGACGAAAGCAGCTCTTTGCGCTATCAGGGGTCTTAACTTGTTTGGTGCACAGGGTGGAGCTCGATCAGTAATTTACGTGCCTCCTGACATGTCAAGACAGTGTAATAGAGTGCTTGAGGCAATCCTTCCTCGTAGTAGTAAAAGTAAAGAGATAGAGAGCTCGCTGTGGAGCATCATATCATATCCAGCCTTTGCCGTTGAAAAAGATATGCTTCTTGCTCAAACTAAAGATTCATTAAAAAGAAGCCTTGAAGGCCATTATGGATACAAACGATTTTTGCTTGATGGCTACAAGACAGCTGTGGAGGACAAGAATAGGCTTCATTATAACCTTGGAGAACTGAGAAACTTTGAGGGTATTGAGTGTGAGTGGCCGATATATTTCATCTATGAGTGGATTGATGAACTGTTCTCAAAAAACATGGAATCAGCAAACAATATAAAACTACATATTGAGAAACTTCAGGTGCCTGATGAGGATGGATATCCATTGGTCCCCGAATTTTACTTTGTCCCAAGTGAGAAGGTTGAAGAAGAAAAATCTTCAAATGGCTCTCAGGTTCGGCTTTGTGGTGGGAAAATCCCCTTTTTATGGGCCCAATCTTTGTTCATTGTTGCAGGGCTCTTGCAAAATGAATTTATCAGTCCTAGCAACATTGATCCACTAAACCGTAGACTGAGCATGTCCAAAAGAAACTCCTCGATTGTGCAGATAGTATTATTATCCGCAAATGAGAAGTGTCAATCCTTTGCAGATGAGCATGACATTCCTTGTTCTCCAGTACATGACTGTGGTGTAAAAATGGTCACCCCACAAGTTGTGGTTCAAATGTGGATTGATCTAGGCATGAAATCAAATGTCAAAACTGATATGACTAATTTACAGAGAGTGAGTTCACTACGTACAAGCGTTGTTTATCAGTTTAAAGATCAGTTCTTTTTATCTCTTCCAGAATACTCTCTTGGTGCTTCATTTTACAACAACTTAGACAATGAAATATTCATCCAGAAAACCATTGCCAGACTTTCATACCTATCATCTCAATGGTGCTTTCCAGGCAGGCCAATATTGATAATTTTCTTAACTCCTGAAAAATGTGCTGACAAATCAACTTCTCGCTTCCTTGATACATTGAAATCTGGCTCTTTCCAAGGTGTGCAAGTTAAACTATGTCACACTCAGACTGCTTTGGCAACATCTTTCAAACAGCTGCTGCCTACTGTCCCAGCTCTAGTACAAAAAGATAATGGAATTTTCATCTTAGGGACCTCTGAGGCAACAAATTTGTCTTTTTCTACCAAAACAAGCTCTCAAGAAACTACTGAAGATTGTGAGATCTATTCTGGTGCCGAGAAATTAATGCAACTGACAGGATCAACAGTATCAGAGAAGTGGAACTGTCTTAACAAGATTTACAAAGAAATGGGACATTTACCTGTTGGTTTGATTCCAGAGGTACAAAAACTTTACAAACTTGCATCTGAAGAGACATGCTGGTATGTATTACGACACTGTTCTGCCTTCTTACACAAAGTACATCCATCCATTAATGAAAGTGTTCTTCATATCTTGGTCACTCAAAGGCAAATTTCATTTGGGGAAGGTACAGATGAGGAAACAATATCACAACCTCTTCCACTTGCTGAGTTTCTTGATGTCATTGTACGACACAGTAAAAAGTGTAATGTCTTATTTTCCATCTACCAAGAATTGCTCAATTATTTGTCTCAACTTGCCCAGAAAAATCCAGCTCTATTCAAAGGCATATTGAGAATAAGAATAGATTTACTTGTGAAACTCATTGCTAAAGAAACATCTGGGGACGAGAAAGTGTTTGACAAAATGTGTGAGCTAAAACCCATTCGATTATATCAGCTAATTTTTAGCCTGCTCAGTGGAGGTATATCGGCAGGTGACGATGAGAAAGAGCTTACCTGGGAAAGAATACGATATATAGATGGGTCCTTAAACAGGCTTCCTAAAAACTTTCATCATAGTTTGTACGCTCTTATGAATGCAACATCTGGAATAGATCTTGGGGGCAACATCCTAAGATCTTTTCCCTTGACAGACGAAATGACTGCCGGTGAACCCCAATTTGCTATCAACATATCCACTTGGCTCGACAAAATCCCACAACCTCAGCTCCGTCAGTTGTATGTTGAAACAATCATGATTTTAGGCTCACTGCAGAAGATGATAAAGAAATTCCCTGATGTTATAGAACTTCATGCTATTTTGTATAAGGCTCATGGTACATTTGTATATGACTGTGTCAACCACAACTCAAGTTCGCTTTTATGTGGAATAAGTCAAGAATTTTATTTGACCCCACCCACTGGACAATATGGAACTTTGAACTATTTGGCCCAAGCTATTGCTCAGTTATATTATTAAATTTTCTGATTATACAATTCCTGATCATAATTGTTTATTTTTTTTGTATTAATTTAATTAGATTTATAATTATACTTTTTATCTTTTCAAAGATAGTACAATTGTACGACTTTAAGGGTTCAGATTCCATCATGGTACATTCATATTGAGTTGCATTGTTGACCAATGCTATTCTGAGTCCATAGTCAGATTTTTGATTTAAATTATAGAATGCTGATTTTTTTCAAAAATGTTTGTTTTTTTTTAATTTTAAGAATTTTTTATCACTGCTGTCATTCCTGAACATGATAAAGATAGTAATAGGTCATTATATTACCAAAAACATATTCAGTGAGCTTTAGTATTTATTTTATTTGCTGCCATTCCCAAAGAAAAAGTTAAAATTGGGCTGGTAATGTATACAAATTTATCAGATGAAGTCATGAAAGTATATTATTTGAAGTGATTAGAAGTGATATCCTATTTTCTTTAAAAATTACCATTAAATGTTTTATAGAAGAATCGTGTTGACATTCCAACCCTCTAGCTATGCCACCCGATGAAGTAGTTGTTATAAAAAGTGAAGATGAGTTTGAAGATGACAGTGGTGATGAGTTTGAAGATGACAGCGATGATGAAATGGAGCTTGCACTACTTGATTCTAACCTCGCTCAAATACAGACTAAAATAGATAACCTGGTCGATCAGAAGGTTTGTGAAATTTTACACTTTAACCATCTAGAAAATGAATTCTGTTAGTTGTGCACGATACGTTCTATAATTGTATTTACTGTAGCAGTTTTCCTCTTTTTAATGATCAAACTTTTCCCACTATCGTCTTCAGCTCTTAATATATGAAGCTATGTCTATGTTAAGGTTATAAAATAAAAGCTTTTAATCTGAAAGGAAACAATCCTGGCAAAGAAGGGTGTGGTGCTGGGCAGAATGAAAGAAAAAAAGTGTCGTCAAACCTCGCGAGAGATCGCTTCTCAACGAGCTAAGACAAACATCATTGCCCCATTGATGGTGGAAAAGCTCAAGAAACTAGCTAACGAGAACTTTGGTATCAAGGATTTCCGTCCTTTACAGCTTGTAAGTTACAAGATAACAATATGTATGATGATGAGCTTAATGAAAATTCAATCTAACCCCTCAACAATTTCTAAAATGTGTTTAGAATACGATTTCGATACCTTTAAACCAGTTCTACTAGGTAGCAGCCAGCAGGTAAACTTAAGTTATAAATTAGCCTTGAATTACCCTAACACCCTAAATTACGCTGCATACCCCCGCAGGAGACTATGTTGATGACACTGCGAGGAGAAGACTGTATCCTGATAATGCCCACCGGAGGGGGGAAGAGTCTGACGTTCCAATTACCAGCTTTAGCAGCTCCAGGGGTCTCTGTTGTGGTTTCTCCTCTCATATCCCTCATGGAGGATCAGGTTGGCACAGCAATATAATATGTTCGAGTTCTCGTTTTTGAGGAGCAATTTTTATAATTTTTCCTATTGATGAGAGAAAGAGTAGAAATTAATAATTATTATAAGTTATCTATCTAGATAACTTAAAATAATTATTAATTTCTACGAAACATAGATAATCTATGTTTCGTCCATGTGTTCGCTTGTTATTAATGAACCTAAATAGTAAATATTGGTAGGTGTCAGGGCTGAAGAAGCAAGGACTTGATGTCGCCATGATAACTGGTTCAACTCCTCAAGATGAACAATCTCTGATCCTCAAAAAAATGTCTGACCCTAACTCCAAACTTAAACTTGTTTACGTTACACCTGAGAAAATATCCAAAGCAAAAAGGTGAATATTTTGACTATCACATTAACACCACATAGTTTATAATCGTCATGAGTATACTAAATGGTTTCTGCACCCTAATTTTCACGATAGGACCCCGGTTCAATATTGAAGTTTTATAAAGTTTGTAAAACCAGACAAAGGTTTACGACAAATGAAGGTTTCAGAGTGCTATGGAGAAAAGCTATGAAGCAGGTCTGCTTGCTAGAATTGTTATAGATGAAGTGCACTGTGTGAGCCAATGGGGACACGACTTCAGACCTGATTATAAGATACTTGGTTAGTGGTTCTTGTTATTCTGCGCTTTATTATATTATGTATTTTTAAGGGTATTTGAAGTGAATAATGCATAGGCCTGCCCAGAATTAACGCTATGTTCAAGTATGATCTGCAATCAGACCACAAAATTGTCAGTACGTTGACGTGTAGATTCTAATAGGGATAGTGTCCTCCCTGTTTCATTTGTTTGAAGGGTCAATATTTTGTTCTATTTTTAGTTTCTGAACATGAATTGACACCCTAGCTATAGTCTTTGTCAAGTTATTGAATCGAAGGTCATGCTGCTTTGCCTTAATAGCAGTAGCTATTTTTAGAGCCTTGTAAACTATTTTTAGAACCTTATATCAGCTTTTATATAGTACGGTATGCTTCCGTCGGTTCGTGACTACTGACTAATATTTGTTATACTTCACACCACCTTTACGCGATTTAAACGTATTCAACACACTTAACACATTTTCTCGCAGGAACTCTAAAGAGACAATATCCCAACACCCCGATTCTTGGTCTGACAGCTACTGCAACAGATAAAGTTCTCGCTGGTACCCTTACCTTGTCTGATCTCTTATCTTAGAATATTTATCATTTCTTATTGTCCTAACCCTTCAACAACGCTTAGACTTCTACTAGAACACTAGCGTACACACTGCTACTAGCCATGTAAATGTAATAGTTGTAATTTTTGTGCAGGTTGTGTAATTTGTGTAGCCGTTAAATTCATTTTATTGGCTCAATGAGTTGCAATGAAATATCACAGTTGTATTACTATCAATAACATTCTTTTATTTCCAGATGTACTGAGTGTACTACATTTGAACCACTGTAAACCTCTGAGAGCTGGGTTTAACAGATCTAACCTTGTGTATGAAGTACAACAGAAAGGAAGCAACCCTCAGGCTGTTGCCGACCAAATTGCTGATATGATTAAAGGTACAATTAAACATTCTAAACATAAATTCAAATAACATTATATTACTTGTCATCTGCCGACTGCCAGCCCTTGGAGCCGCAAATTTAATTCCAGGAAAAAATTACTAAATTAATTAGAACTTGCTTTATTTTGTAATTAACGTCATGATATTGACAGTTTAATTGATCATGTCCTGTCTGTCAGGAAGGTTTGCTGGTCAGAGTGGTCTGATCTACTGCTTCTCAAGAAACGACTGTGAGATAGTGATGAGCAGTCTCGCTAAGTTAAACTTGAAGGTGGATTATTACCATGCTGCTCTGAGGTAGGAATCTGAACAAAACGAAGGGGATTCTTTTTCAAAATGGCGAAAACTGTTGTGATCCCCTGCCCCCCCCCCCCCCCCCCCCCCTCTCCCACTTTAGTATCCTGTAGAGATTATCAATGAGACAATGACGTCAGTAGTGATGTCAGTTATATGATATATCTGTTGATTTAAAATACCGCGTTACGCCGTTACATGCGTCATAAACAAAAATGATGTATGGCCGGCTCTAGGATTTAAACTTTAGGTTCAGTATTGTGGTGGTTAACTTCCATGAACAATAAAGTTATTAGTGATGACAGTCATGACAACAGTAAACAGTCAATGTGTTGATGTAACCATTTTGAGAGTACGCCAAATATAGATACAGGGTGGCCCATGATTAAGTACGAGCTGTACAACGGGACGAGAGGTAGAACGGGACGAGAGATAGAACGGGACGAGAGGTAGAACGGGACGAGAGGGGGTAGAACTCAAATCAATTGCATTACCCGCAAAGTTTTGGGCCACTCTGTAGCGATCAATTGTTGGCCACTAGTATGTAAAAATAACTTTAAACTAATTACAACACTAAAAATCTATTACATTTATTGAGAATTATGTAATGTATCGTGATGGAAATATTTTAAGCGGGCATATCCTGTCCAAACCCAGGATGCACGACGTGAAGAATTTGTTTTAACTTTGTATGAAAAGCATCAATACTGAACGTTAACGAATTAATCTCACAGTGTAGCTGAACGCAAGGTAATACACCACAAGTGGCTACGGAATGAGCTACAGTGTATAGTTGCTACAGTCGCCTTTGGTATGGGAATTGATAAGAAGGACGTGAGGTACTATTCTAAATTTAATCTAGACTGGGCCAGTCCTATTGTCAAGTCAAATTAACCCATAATAGCTTTAATTAAAATACCAAACACGTTTTAATCACAATTTCGCTCTTAAATTCTTTCCTTCGTCCTTGATTTTAAATTTAAATTCTGAACTCCCCAGGTTTATAATCCACCACACTATAAGTAAGAGTATAGAGAACTACTACCAAGAGAGTGGCAGGGCAGGGAGGGATGGTCTAACTGCACATTGTGTACTCTTGTTTACACCATCCGATCTCTTCAAGATAACAACCATGACCTGTCAGGAAATATCTGGTTGGTTGTTTGTAGTTTAGTAGGTCGGGATTCAAAAGATTAAGTAAGCAAGTATTTATTGATTTTACTACACATTACACTGTCATTTACACTGTTATTTAACCAGCGCAATCGGTAAATCAATTGATTATAATATAAGGTAAATAGATTTTTGGTTATCAATTTAAGTTAATTTGGAGGGTGTATAACTCTGGCCCTATGCGTTATCAGCACCTGATAACAGTTTGTAAAAAGTGCTAGAAGTAAATTAGTTTCTAACCACCGATAATTCAGTAAGACAGCATGTGGCATGCTTCATATCCCCAATGAGCTTACGTGTTTGCAGAACGGAGATTGGAAAAACCGATCAATCTAGACGTGCATATTTAAGCAAGTTGATCCTATAATCACTAATCAGCCATATAATTTGACCTGTTCAGGTACTGGTAAAGCGTACGAGATGTTGGGGTACGCAATAAGCACTGAATGCAGACGCGCTGCACTTGCATGTCACTTCGGTGAGGATGTGGGCGCTGCACAGTGCAAGAAAATGTGCGACAACTGCAAGAGTGATGTAGAAATTGTCAAGAAAGATATGACGTTCTATGTTCAGGAGCTTCTTAATGTCCTTGACAAAAAGTGAGTCACTTTTTTTATTTATTGCAATGCGATTACGTTACAGATCAAAATATGTAATTATACATTAACAATTGAATTACATTTGGTGGTGGGTAATGACCGAATGTAATTGGTCGTGAGTCGAAACTTTGTGTTACTATGTATACAAACATTTGCATTCCTAAATAAGAATTGTGTGTTTACACGAATTCCGATGTTCTTATTCTATAGATCTTGATAGATGTAAGATTCTAAGACACTGCTTCTATGAACTTGCACTTTAGATTGTTCTATTTGGGTTTGCAAAAAGATTTGTTATTAATTGGCAAATGTTATCTTTTCTTTGCGACTTAGTAAGATCTTTAGAAATATCTTGGCTCCGTTTTGTATATCGTGAAGATGGTAATATCGAAATATGCATAATGCATCTACACAATTCAGAGACAAAGACTTGACGTTTGCGATGATAATATCAGAATGGAAGAGTAAGCGATCAGCAAAGACAAAGAAAGTAGTAAACACTTACCTTGATAAGATAATAGTCCACTGTTTGCACGAAGGAGTTTTAAAAGAGAAATTCAAAGCTGGTGAGTAACTCCGATCTTTTAGAGATCTTTTAGAGATCTTTTAGAGATCTTTTAGAGATCTTTTAGAGATCTTTTAGAGTTATAAACACATAAATCTCTTGTGTTATAAACACAGTGTACTTTAGTTATTATCCACGTGCCAGATTAATTGCTGAGATGTGTGAAATGAGATTGATCTGAAAGTTCGTTGTTCCCCTCTGTCAGTTTTTAATGTAGAAGATCAAATTGTGTGTTAAAAGATAAACCTTGTAATTTTCTGGGTAGAGCTATTCAGTCCAATACTATCATTACAGTTTAATTAAGCATAGCGATAACTTTTACACTGTTTAGTATGTTATTTTAAAATATTTCCTTGTGTTCAGGAATGTATAAACCGTTCTCGTACTGCGAAGAAGGAATGTACGCTCGTGCTGTGAAGCACGGAACTAAAAAAGTCTACATGAACATTCCTCATTCACATTCCCCTCAGTTCGTAGCTACTTCTGAAACTCAGTCTGTTTTAGGTAAGAATCTTTTATTCTGATTCAAAACCCGATTTACCATTTCATACTGCGCTGCCTATTTTTATCCTCCCAAAATGTGCTAAGGACGGAGGTTTTACTCTACTAGCTTTTTAATATCAAGACGAACTGTCTGCTATGCATTATAATAAGTAATTACGTATAGAAGTGTGCAAATCACAATAATTGTCTCATTATCTGATCACGAGACCTTAAATGTCGTGTCCCCCTTGTATTTCGTCACTACTGATAACTATGTCTCCTGTCGACAAGAATCCTCCCAACTACTTTGGCAGATGTTCTTGGTGTTCATGTAATGTGTTGTTTTGACAGATGTTAAACATCCCGAAATGTCATTGTTGTAGGTACTTCGATACTGAAAACAATAATGCAACTGTCACTGAAGCCTCGCAGTAGTTTAGTTAAACTAAATGGAACATCAGTGCAAGTGTAATCTGAGCACAGCCGTACTTTGCAGAACTGCAGACCTTTCAGCAGTTATTCCGCTTTGTTCTTGTCGTTGTGATCTTGTTTTGTTTTCACTTTTCAATGTAAGAAGGGTTTAGATTATTGGTTTGTTCAACTATGTTGTGTTGCACTCCATACGGTTATAGTTAAATTCTATTGTAAATTGTCAATTGATGATCATTTCGTAATATAATACAATCAATGATATAATTTATTCTTGTTATTCGATCGTTCTAATGTAAATTGTCTCTATTTGCTAATTTGTGGTTTTTTTTTTCAGCGATAGCACCCGAAAACAAGGCTCCTACTCACAAGATATTGACAAAATCCAAAGCTAAATCTACGTCAACAAAGAAACGAAAAGCAATAGTATTTGATAGTGACAGCGACTGAAATCGTTCAAAACACTTTTTAATTTTTTTAATAAAATTATTTAATTTATTACTCATTGTGTTTTATCTAATTTATACTTTTTAACAATGTTGGGAATGTTGACCAGCTGCTAAATATTCTGAATTTTTGCCCCGTTTTTAATCAGCAGTTTGTAACATGAATCAAGTAAGATTTCTTTTTCTACAAGCTCCAACAATACCGCAAGTAATTTGACTTTTTTAGTACATGAGTTGCCATATGTCGAGCAGCAGCCACTAGTGACATTAGTTCCAGTACACAGTGTACAATATTGTACACAGTGTACAATATTGTATTCCCAGTGTGCACTGCTGTAGTTGCTAGCATTATCATGATCTCTTTTGTGGACCAATTAGCAGCGAGATTCGCCACTCGCCGTTCTTATTGTACCATTTTGAAGACATTTCACTGTCAAAATCTTTGTTTTGTTGTTTGACGCTATGATGAAAAGATTTGTGTGCGTTGAATATTTTGAATTATATATCAGGAGTTTTATTCGATATGTTGTAAAATGTTGATGATTTATCTACTGTAACGTGCGTGCTTGTGCTTGCCACCGGACCAAAATTTGTTGATGTATTTTACTTTGGGAAGTCAATTAGTTTTTTGTGAAATCTGTATGAACTTTAAACATTAATTTGAAATTTGAACACATATTCAAATCGTGAACACTGATCTGAAACTAGAAAAATTAGACCATAATTGTTAAAACATAGACATTTTATTTTAATATAATATTGTAGCTTGTATCTTGTGTTTGTAGGATGGACGTGGACCGGCTAAACGCAACAAAGAACGAGATATTGGCGGAGCTCCACAAAGATGTCTTTCTTACTCCCAAAGGAATGATGAAGTTCGTTCAGTTGTTTGTGGTGATATGCGCGTTTGCTATGACAACCAGTGCAAAAGGTGGGTTCACAATTCACATCTTTTCTAGCATTTTCTTTTGCATATTCTCATAATATTTATATTATTCTATGCGACACGTGAACTAGTATTCAAATTATCAATTTCGCTACCCCTCTGAATGGGCTGAAGGAGGATATGTAACATATTATGCAGATTGCTGATGCTACTTTCAATATGTTTAATGATAATAATAACGCTAAAATAAGTTAGATAACACGACCACTGTCCAGGTGAGTCGACTCTCTTGATAAAAGCAGCAGGCAAGCTAAAAAACGATGTAGAAGGAGTCCTCGTTACCAAATACCCCTTCTCGAAATACGACTGGAACCACAACTACGATAACGAAAACGAAAGCAAAGATCACGCTTACAAGGACATGATGTTCAAAGATGGGTTCCAATCTGAATCTCAATTTTATGTGTTCGTGGGTGTGATGTCCTTCCTTTATACCCTTGCAGCTATCATCAGTTATGCTTTCTACAAGAAGTTTGAGAAGATGAGCGACCACTTTGCAATCTATTTCACCAAGGTGGATTTGATCTCGACAGTCGTGCTGACCTTCTTTTGGTTTCTCTCCACGACGCTGTGGAGCGCTGGGTTCAGCGCGCTGCGCAACGACCTCAACCCGCCCTCTGATTACGTCTCGTTGATAGCGCGCATAAGAATAGAGGTAGGCGATGATAAAGTCTGCGAAAACTTCAGTTGTCTCACTACCGACTCCTGGAGTAAGCTATACGGCAGCGTGGTGTTCGGGTATCTCTGTATCTTCCTTTACGGAGTCAACTGTTGGTATTGTTTCAAGGATACAGAATGGCATGCGGAGCCGGAGAAGTTGGTTGGAGGAGTGCTGCAGATCCGGACAGACAGCGCCGGACCTGGACCCGCTGCTGACATGCAGGATGTTAACTTGGAGGTGGGCGGCACTGATAGTGCTACCATTCAACCTGGCGCTATTTAGATTGGAACGTTAGTAAAATAGTATGATCACGTGATGTGCATTAAGTGGACAGCACGTTCAATGCGCGGTGAGCTGCGCGCGGTGAGCTGCGCACGGTAAGCTGCGCACGGTGAGCTGCGCGCGGTGAGCTGCGCGCGGTGAGCTGCGCGCGGTGAGCTGCGCGCGGTGAGCTGCGCACGGTGAGCTACGCGCGGTGAACTGCACGTGGTGAATTGACAAGCTCTGATGTTCAGTTCTGTACAGATTATTTCTCAATCTATTGGTGTGTAATTAAAGTTTATAGTACATTTTGAGATTATGCATTCGTTTGATTTGGTTTGACATGCGATTCATAATTTCTTTATTTTGGATTGTATTGAATCTCAGAAACCTGATCATGATGTTTATGTTATTTTCTAATATACAGTTTGTCAGATATTTGGTCACAGCTTATGATTCTCATAATTCTTATTAATGTGATAACCATTATATATCTATTTATCCTTAGATTTGGCTATTCTTTTGGCAATATTTACGGCCGCCATTTAAAAGGAAAAAATATGATTTTACTCATGGTACTTATTTTTAAATTTATCAGATTTAATCGATATCTCATGACTTATGCCTGCTATCATAATTATCATTGAAATAATATTATCTTAATATAATATTGTATGTTCATACTTCATAGAGAACTTTCCTTTCATAGCACCATCTTTTACGGGAGAAGACTCAAAATTGGAAATGATGATTATTGAAAAAATAACATGTTTTAGAGCATAAATCTAGGGGCTATAATTTGGTGCCATTCATCGTGTGCTAAGTGCTTGTTTATATCCCGATCAAATATTGCGATAAGTTTTGATTGATATAATATTGTATTTCTAGGATTAAATATTTGTGCTTTTTGGAAGTTTGAAAGCTGTTTAGTAGCCAGTTCAGCTTTGCTAACAGCTTTTTTTGCAGTGCTATTTTTGCAATCTTAGATTTGATTAGAAGACATTAGAAACAGTGCGAGAACCTCTAAAGTCTTAGTTCTCAGTTCAGGTTTTCTTAGAAAGTAGGACGTTAAGTTTTACTGCCGCACTATGAACTCGATTACAGATTTCATTCGATATATATAAACTTGTTTCACGTATATTATACAGGTAACATGTATCTGGTATACCCACACTTAAATGTATCGAGTGCACTTGCAATTTGGAGGATCGAGTTTCTGTGAGATTCAGCATTTTAGAGCTTAAATTTGTCTCGATTTGTAAATAAAAGTATTAGAATTGATGCCTCACGCCATTCTGGGATTAAGTGCTCGACCTTATGAATTTTGTACTGCCCTGAATGATAACGTTAAAATATGTTAAAAGTAAAAATATTATGTACTTTAATGAATCTATGATTTGAAAGTTTGAAGTTGAATTTATTCACTGAAATATCGTACCTTGCTGTTTTCTTGCATTACAAAACACCTTCTAAAAACAATGGCTTTCTGAGATTTGCTGGGTTTGCAGTACCAATCGGGGAACAAAAGACAGTCTCTTCCGAAGAATAGATCACGTGATGAAGTTGCAACGTACGTGTTTTATTTGATGCTGTGCAATTATTGAAATTAACAATCTTGTTGATTGCACCAAGCGCGGCGGTACCTTTTACAGTAGAGAGTCACTCCAGGAAACATGGTAATACCTGAACAATTTATGTGCTGCATAGTATAGAAGTGTCACGTTTAACAATGGTTACAGAAAATTCTAAAGACCCATATCCAAAAAATTTTTAATTTCCTACATTCTCAATTTTTTCGTTTTCTGTGGCCCGCTCGCTTCGCTCGCATAAAAAGTCTTTGTATTCGCGCGGTTCAAAGATTTTTCATGGCGGATTCCAGATTCTCAATTTTACTTTTTTAGGGCCCGGAATGCTTTTTAATAGATAATCCTAGGTTACTTTTGGGGGCGAAGCCCCCGAAAATTTTGGAAATTTAAACTAGATTTGGCCTCCTGGAACGAATCTGACAATGGAGAACGATTTTAGCTGCTCTTTCATTTAAATTCCTACTGAAATATTATCGAAAATTCTCAGAGTTGGCTCTCGAATTTCCTACTTTTTGTCAAAAATTTCCTACTTTTAAAAATTTCCTACATTCTTAGAATGCGAGAATGCGGGTTTTTGGATATGGGTCTAAAGAGCTGTGAGATTAAATTGGCCCCAGATATGATAAAATTGGGCCTAGAGAAAATTGGGCCCAGATGAAATAAAGCCCTTGGATCGTAATGCAGTAGCGTATAATGTTCAGTGTTCTTAAAAAGGAGGAATAAAGAAAGTTGCTTTGTTTTCATTCAACATTACAATGAGTTAATACAGGCTAAAGCTATAGTTAATTTCATCACAGAATGTAAGACGCTGATTCAGATACCACCGACAATCACATCACCTCATCTCACCTGTACCTCACACCCTCCATACCTCATCTCACCTGTACTTCACACCCTCTATACCTCATCTCACCTGTACCTCAAACCCTCCATACCTCATCATGCCGGGACACCGTAAGTCCCTGAAACCAGACACCAAGAAACAAACCCAACAAAAAAAGGAAGCCGAGAACCCTGAAACCAACATCAACTCCACGGATATGCCTGAGGATGGAGACGATGCGTTCCTATCTCCGGAGGAATCTAATTGGTCAGATCAGATGGGGTCATGTGACCAGGATGAGTCAGGGTGTGGAGCGTGTACTCAGCTCCTCAAGGGGTCTATCACTACCTTCATGACTAGTGATAAGTTTCTGGAGAAGTACCCGGAGAGGATTGAGGGTAGGTAGTGGAGTTTAGTTTAATCTATGCTTCATAATTATAGGAGTAGCTTTATTTCTTCGCTCGTAACACTAACGTTATTGTGCTGTAATCAGAGATAATTTCAAACGTTGTAGTCTAATCATCTATAAAAACATTAATAACTGATTTAATGATATCCATTTAAACAAAGTTAAATAAAACTTCACGTCACCCTCTCCCTCCCAGGATTCAACCTGTACGACTACCACAATGACGGGTACATAAACAGTGATGACCTGGGGAGTGCCCTCGCTGCAGTGGGTTACATTGTGTCAGAGGGCGAACTAGCTGTAGTGAGCGAGCACCTCAACATAAACCGTGGAACTGACCTTCACTTCAGCACCTTTACTGCTGTTATAGCTCACCAGATAATGGCGTGTAGTGACGCACAGATCATGGATGCGTTCAGGATGTTCGATAAGGAGGGCCGAGGAACTATTGGTACGTATTGGAAATAGATTTAGTGTCTGGAAAGGCAATGATGAATGAATAGAACATCACATTGATTATCCAATATTGTATTGATTATATTTTGTATTATATTCTAAGATCTCGATATAAACTTATGACATGGTGTTTGCTAGCTCACAAGGTACATGGCAACGAACAAGTTAGTAAAGTTAGTTAAGATCCCTGGACTACTCCGCTACAGTGAGGGTCTCAAACTTCAACATAGACTGTGGACTCTGTCCAAAGATCACCGTCTCAACTATCTTATCCTATGTGAGCACAGTCCAGTTTACACGTTTGGGAAGAGACAATCACAAGGTGATCTCTCAATTGAGATAGGAAGACTCCAGGGACTTGGTGCAGAATGTCATACCACGCCGCGCGGTGGACTCACTACATTCCACGGGCCCGGACAGTTGGTGTGCTACCCTATATTGAACCTGAGGAACTTTAAATCAAGTGCTAAATGGTACATTAACCAGCTGGAAGAACTCGTTATCTCCACGTGTGGTGAAATGGGGGTGAGCGCTGCGCGGTGTGAGCACGTGGGGATCTGGGTGGGAGCCAACAAGGTGTGTGCGCTTGGTGTCAATATCCGGACCCGCTGTACCACACACGGGTTAGCACTGAACTGTAGCACGGACCTGGACTGGTTCGAGAGTATAGTGCCGTGTGGTATTGAGGGGAGAGGGGTCACGAGTTTGTCACGTGAGAAGGGGAGGGAGGTGGGGGTGGAGGGAGTTAGTGAGGTTATGGTGAGGGAGTTTCAAACGATCATGGAATGTACCGTCGTCAAGTGAGGGGTTTCAAAGAGATTTTTATAACCTATGTTGCGTTGAAACCATCAGCTTTTTGAATAAATGTTTTTTACATTGCAGTAGAGAGCTAGAGTTCAGACCTTATTTGCATTTTATTATGTTTTTATGTATTATGTTATGCTCAGGGTTGCCGGGGGACCTTAAAAACCTTAAAAAACCTTAAAAACCTTAAAAACGGCAATTTTGGGCAAAAAACCTTAAAAAAGACGTGAAAAACGGGCAAATTTTCGGGTTTTTAAGGTTTTTTAAGGTTCCATACCTAAATTATACCTAGCTTGATGTTAGATCTAAATGGATTTTCCGGATTAGTAAAAATTTTTGAAATTATACCTACCTTGATGTAGATCTGATTGGATTTTCTGAATTTATACTTAGTTCGGTGTAGATCTGATTGGATATTCTGAAATTATACCTAGCTCTGTGTAGACCTGATAAGATTTTCTGAAATTATAACTAGCTCGGTGTAGATCTGATTGGATGTTCTGAAATTATACCTAGCTCGGTGTAGATCTAATTGGGTTTTTCTGAAATTATACCTAGCTTGTTGTAGATCTAATTGGGTTTTTCTGAAATTATACCTAGCTTGTTGTAGATCTAATTGGGTTTTTCTGAAATTATACCTAGCTTGTTGTAGATCTAATTGGGTTTTTCTGAAATTATACCTAGCTTGTTGTAGATCTAATTGGGGTTTTCTGAAATTATACCTAGCTTGTTGTAGATCTAATTGGGGTTTTCTGAAAATATACCTAGCTCGGTGTAGATCTAATTGGGTTTTTCTGAAATTATACCTAGCTTGTTGTAGATCTAATTGGGTTTTTCTGAAATTATACCTAGCTTGTTGTAGATCTAATTGGGTTTTTCTGAAATTATACCTAGCTTGTTGTAGATCTAATTGGGGTTTTCTGAAATTATACCTAGCTTGTTGTAGATCTAATTGGGTTCCTGAAAATATACCTAGCTCGGTGTAGATCTAATTGGGTTTTTCTGAAATTATGCTTAGCTCGGTGTAGATCTAATTGGGTTTTTCTGAAATTATACCTAGCTTGTTGTATATCTAATTGGGTTTTTCTGAAATTATACCTAGCTTGTTGTAGATCTAATTGGGTTTTTCTGAAATTATACCTAGCTTGTTGTAGATCTAATTGGGTTTTTCTGAAATTATACCTAGCTTGTTGTAGATCTAATTGGGTTTTTCTGAAATTATACCTAGCTTGTTGTAGATCTAATTGGGGTTTTCTGAAATTATACCTAGCTTGTTGTAGGTCTAATTGGGTTCCTGAAAATATACCTAGCTCGGTGTAGATCTAATTGGGTTTTTCTGAAATTATACCTAGCTCGGTGTAGATCTAATTGGGTTTTTCTGAAATTATACCTAGCTTGTTGTAGATCTAATTGGGTTTTTCTGAAATTATACCTAGCTTGTTGTAGATCTAATTGGGTTTTTCTGGAATTATACCTAGCTTGTTGTAGATCTAATTGGGGTTTTCTGAAATTATACTTTCCCCCTTTAGATATGATTGCAATTTCTGTATCGGAAAACCTTGAAAAACCTTAAATTTGCACCTTTATTGCATTACGTTTGTCCAAATTTTCGCCCTGTGGACCTTAAAAAACCTTGAATTTAACTGTTTTGGACCTTAAAAATGGGTCAAAAGGGGCCTTAAAAGACGTGAAAAAACCTTAAAAATGACTCTCAAAAATGCCGGCAACCCTGGACTTATGCTGTTGTAAGGATATTTGTGAAATTGTTATGTTACATTTTTTTAAATTCTAAGAATATTTACGTGTCATTATTTGTCTGAACGTATTTTGAATATACTTGAGATTTGCTTCAAAGTTTTTTAAACTTGACCTCATCCAATTTAATTTATAATAACACTTGACCCACTCTTCCCGTCTAACCTCCTTTTCCCCAGATGCAAAGGAGTTAAAGCACATAACAACAGTATTAGGAGTACAAACGGATGAGGAGCAGATAGATGATATGGTTAGAGAGGTTGATGTTGACGGAGACGGGGATATCGACTTCCAAGAGTTCGTTATGATGATCAGAAAATGAGGGATTTTATACCCAATTTTTGGGGTAGGCGATATGTGACTTAAATCTTCTGTAAATTTTGTAACGTTTTATTTGTGATATTTTGGGGTTCGTACCAGTTTAAACACTGGACTTGTAAAATGCGGTACGAGATTTTATTTAGGTTGCTTGCTTACACATTTCATAATTGTTCTATTATATTTCAGTGGAAATTAAGCATGTACGTGACTGAATGATATGTGACTAATTAAAATTGTATGGGGAGCGTTAAAAAATAACTGAGTTGTTTTAGCTAAATTTGCTAATGCTCTAATGTCCCTGTCATGGTTATGTAAGAAATGCTGACAAACATTTTATACCTTACAAGACTTTTTCATAACGTACGAAATGCGACGGTTTTCCCGAAATTTCGCCATATTTTCGGACCGCCAAAATTTCGGTCGTCGTAATAGAATCCGTCGCATTATTTTTAGCTTATTTCAATAATTGTGGCTTCATCGATTCATTTTGTTCTTGAAAAGTTAGTGATATGATGGTGGGACAAATAAACACAATATTCCATGATGAATTTAATGTCAAGTAATACGTTTTAAATTTACAATAAATTACATTTATGTGCTAACATAAACGTCTTATAAGAGACTAAGTCAAGATGAACAATTTAATACCAAACTCAATAAGTGAAACTGAAAGAGTCGAGCCGGACTCCTTAGAGGAAGATGAAGAAATCGATTTATAAGTTTCATTTTGTTTCAACATGATTTTACCGATTTTTAGAAAATTTTGAATTTCCTTTGTGTCAGAAAACAAAATGATGAAAAATACCCTTATTTTCTGTGACGTCCGAAATGTGACGGTTTTTGTTCAATTTCGCCATATTTTCGGACCGCCAAAATTTCGGTCGTCGCAAATTGGTCCGCCACAAAAATGTCTTGTAAGGTATTATTAAATATTGGATGACTTTTGTTTGAGATTTTATTTCGTTATTGTTGTCAGATTTTGAGATTTTGCCTGTGAATATTTTAACTCATGATATTTAACACGACGAATAATTTTATTTTTCATAACGTCATAAACGATCTTTGAATTTGCTTCTTACACCGATCGTTATCTTGCCTTGTTTTTCACTGAATCTCCCTATTTTAGGTGATTGTATCTTGATTAAATGTTACCCAAGTAGTAGTTAAAATAAAAGCTGAACATTTGTTAATAAATGTATAAAAATCAATGAAAGTCTAAATTAAATCCCCATCAAATAACCCTATTATAAGTTCTAACACCCACCCACAACCCAGTAGCTTCAAATCACCATGGTGCTGAACAGAGTAACCTACAGACGTCGTCTGTCCTACAACACTAAATCCAACAAAACCCACCTAACCAAGACACCCGGTGGTAAGCTTGTAGTCCACTACGCCACCAAGAAAACCAACATCAGCAAGTGTGGGGACTGCAAGCAAGGTTTGAGGGGTATCCCTGCTGTACGACCTGTTAAGTTAGCGTCCCTCTCACGACGGGTGAAGACTGTTAACAGAGCTTATGGAGGCAGCAAGTGTGGCAAGTGCGTCAGGAGTAGGATTATCCGAGCTTTTCTCATTGAGGAACAGAAGATTGTCGCTAAAGTCTTGAAAGCTCAGGCCTCTAAGGCATAAGCAGTTGGATGATGATTTTTAGCTGATTTTTATAATATTTGAAAGAAATAGTCGTTGTTTTATTCTAGAGTCTCAAAGTTTTGATTGTAAAAATGAGTGTCCAGGAGGTAGATCTATTATGGTTTCAATGTAACAACTGTAACTGTGTTCAATATGATAATATATAGTCGATAGATGGTACTTATCGCACTGTTACATGTTTGGCATCGTATCCATGTTATTTAATATTACCGTCTTCATTCATTGCACGTTTAAGGTACTCTACATTTAATTTCAAATTCTGAACTCCTGATAAATCGTATGACAATAACACTAATATCTCCTAGGAATGACATATTAGTCCAACCAGCGTGCTACAGCTCACACGACACAGTGGACTACTGTTACACTATGAGCAAGGAGAAGGTTAATAAGAACTGTCCCGGTGTTAAGAGGCTGATGCGTGAAGCAGCAGAGCTGGCTGAACCAACCGAGCATTACTACGCAGCACCTCTCGAGGACAACCTGTTCGAATGGCACTTCACCGTCAGAGGACAAGAAGGGAGCTCGTTTGAGGGGGGTTTGTACCACGGGAGGATTATGTTCCCACCGGAGTACCCCCTGAAACCGCCCAGTGTCATGCTGCTCACTCCTAATGGAAGGTTCGAGATCAACAGGAAGATATGTTTGAGTATGTCAGAGTACCATCCGGAGACCTGGCAACCTAGTTGGAGTATCAGGACTGTATTGTTGGCTATAGTCGGTTTCATGCCCACCCCTGGGAAGGGAGCTATAGGAGCGCTGGACTGGACTGATGCTGAGAGGAAGAAGCTAGCATTGCAATCAGTAAAGTGGTCGTGTAGAGGGTGTGGAGCTGATAACGCAGATGTGTTGTTACCGGTTACTAAACAAAGTGGCGAGTCTTTGAAGAAGGAGGCTGATAAAGCGGCTTCTGAAATGGCGTTTACTGCTGAGAAGAGTAAATCTAAACCGGGAGATCCTCCGGTGGAATCTGCGGCCTCAGTCACCGCTCCTCCTCCTACTACTGAACCAAACTCTAACGCAGCCGTGTCACCTGCTCCTGTTGCTCCTGCTCCTGATGCTCCTGTAGCAACCCCTGAAACAGCTCCTCAGAATGCTAGTTTAACAGAACGACCCCCTCCCACCGGCGGAATATGGACCCTCTTTATCATGTACTTTTTAGTTGGAATAATATCAGCACTGTTCTTGAGACGGGCAGGGAGGACGATTTATCAGGAGTTTTTCAAACCTGATTTAGTGTAGGGAGATTTTGGGAGAATATTAGTTGATAGTTACCGTTACCCTCGGATGATGCAGAATTTTATTTTAACGTTTGGTCACTTTGGATTTAGAATTTGTAAATTATAGCTTCGAAATTTGAATGTTTTTAAGACAGCATGGTATTGGAACTAAATGTAGATAAACTGTATTAGAATCCTCTATTAAAACTTGAACGGCGATGTGAATAAGAGTGTTTGTGTATGACTGTAATCGTGTATAAATATTCTTTTGAAGGGAAATTTACTCATCGATTTTTAAGTACATGCATATTGCATGTGCAATTTCTCGTTACGAATTTTGAATAGTACTTAAATTAGAAAAGGGATAATGTAGATTTTATTCTAGCACTCTACCCTTAATTAACAGAAACTAATTACCGGTGTTAACCAGACAAAGCTATTTAGATAATGATGATTGTATTAATAATGTTTAAATAGTTGAATATAATTTGATTGTTCAAGATAAATTCTTTCACGTTTTTTAATTTTTCAGTGATTTCCATTTCAAAACAAAGTTCAGTTTCTTCATTGCAATTCTAAATTAAAATCCACAAATTTGTACACAATGCCGTACTATCCATTTTATAATTATACTGCGTAGTGCGTACTAGGCGCATAGCGGCATAGTTAGTTATTATTTAAAGTAGATGAAATAATTTATCCTGTTTGTATGGCTCTATCGCATAGCATTATATCTCTAGTAATCTATTAAAGTGGCTTTACTTTGTAATGTATTATATTATTTTAACTTGACTTATATTACTTATATTACTTAAAATAATACTATTTTATTAGGATATATCCAGACAGCGCCTTACCTGGAAATGTTTCTACCAGACTAAATAAGGACAGCAGCTCTAATGTTCGATAAGTTCAGTTCCAACATCCATCTGCCTTTTAGCTAACAACGTCTAATTTAGAAGAAAAAAAAACGTTTTGTCATGAAGTTGGAAGTCGAAGAAGCTTTGCTGGAGTACTCTGATGTGATTCTGTTTTGTGTAGCAGACCAGCAGTTTTACGCCCCTCGTGCCCTGATCACCCACCACAGCTCGTACCTTGCCCAGCGACTAGACGAAGAGAGCGTCATTATGTTCATAGAATTTCACGACATTCCGCACATATTTCAGCTCGGTCTGGATCTGCTGAAGGGTAAGGAAGTGGTGGTAGATCAGGTGAACTATCAAGGTCTGCTGAAGTTTTCTGTTGTGTGTGAAGTAGAAACCTTGTATAAAAAACTTGTGGAGTGGCTGAAAGACGAATTTAAATGGGAGAGGATAAAGTTTGTAAAGCTGCATGAATACTCTCAGTTTATAGTGGCGTTTGATCCACAACGTACCGCAATACGGGAGCTTTGTTGTGACCTGCTTGAAAGCCGTGGATTGTTCATCATAGACAAGGAGTTGGATCATACTTCAGTGTCTGAGTTCGACAACAGCCTCATTGAGCTGTTCGTGGATCCCAGGTTTATTTGGACTACTTTACCCCTTCTCCACAAACTCACCTGTACCAGGTTAAAAGCAGAGTTCATGTTAGGCCTGATCAACAATTGTGAAATACTCTCCACTCTGAGAAACAATAAACTCTTCACTGCCACCTTCCTCCCTCGTCTCGGATGTTTTCTAGTAGAATCCGAGACCAAGCATCTCATTGTTCTCATAAAGATTCAGGAGAAACTTTTAAAAACGGTATCAACAACTCGCTACAGGATTATGCCTTTGTTGACCAGCAATGAGTATTTTGGTGCACCTGAAAAAAGGGCAGCTTGCTTAGCCTTGTCGCCCGATAAGATGCTGAAACTGAAGAGCCGTTTGAATCTTATGGATGTTGTGTATTGCGAGCTGGTTATTGACTGGCTAAAAGCTCGTTTCAACGATCCAAGCAAGAAAGCTCCCTTCATCCAGAAGATCTGGGAGTTGGTAAATTTCCAAAAACTAAGCAGAGGATTTTTGTTCGATCTGAAGGCAACATTTCAGAAATTCTGCCGTGGGGAACAGCTGAATCTAGAGATTCCACCTAAAACCACCCATTATGTGGGTTACGGGTTCTACCTGACAGAACATCAAACATACGCACTGCGGCTGGGACACCCCATATCACTGGAACACCACTGTAACATCTGCGAATGCGAGGAAACCACACCACAAGGGCTGTGTTTCCAACTAAGCGACAACACACCCTGCTACACCCCCACCCTCAACAACTACTCCCCCAACTGTCACTACCACACTCTACCACCTCATTGGTGGTTATCAGAGGATGGCACCGAGATAATATCTCTGATCACTAACTCACTGGATCAGATTAAGACTGTGTTGGCTAGGATTCAGAGGGTTTATGTGTGTTGTATGGGTCCTATGACTAACAATCCTGTTTTTCATCCCAGGCATTCCGTCATGGCTTCTGAAGACGGATGAGGTCAATTATATTAGTAGTGGGATTGTTCGATTCTGTTAAATTCTGTTAATATTAGTATTATGTGAATTGATTTTTTTGTGATATTTGATGGAATAATACTAACGTAGTTTCTGGGAGTTTAAACTTCTTTTAAATTTTTAACATTTTGTTTTTTAACGACTTTATGAATTGACTCACAGATTTAATTTCTTATCTTAACCATATTATATTCAGTGAAAGAGTACCTTTAATTTTGCCTGCCATTTTAATACTTTAATTGTCGCTTTCCTAGCGTAATATAATATATCGATGGTCGAAGTCATTGCGTATTTTAAGTACTTTTTAGATTTTCTAGTATTATAAAATTAGAATTCAACTTCGAATGACATTGTATGTTGATTCACTGTAAAAATATTTTGCAATTTGCTATCAGTTTTTATAAAATACCAACTCAGCTATTTCTAGCATTCAAGGACTACAATATTACAAATTGCAATAGATGCGTTAACGTCAACGTGCAGTTTCCTTTTATTATTCATGATTGAAATTGCAAAATCCCCGTCCCGCACTAAATATAACGTTAGATTGGTACGTTCTTTCAATCAGCCGCAGATATAATATTAATAATGATTATTTCAGTAGCTACAGCATGTAAAGTCGCCAAGTTTACCCTTCCTTCCTAGTTCCTTCTCGCCAACAAACGATACCCTCCATCAACAATCAACATGTCAAGTAAGTTTGGAGTAACCAATAAGAAGACAGGATTTCAAACAACCCAGCTGTTATATTAACACTCGACTTTAGCACCGTTTTAAACGAAACATTTAAAACTGCTACATTTTATCATATACATCAGAATATGTCAGTTGAAAAAGCTAAGTATTATATATTTTGTTTGTCAGTTCGATAGTATTATTTTTGATAACATGCCAGGAGGTTACTGGAAGAAGTTCCTGATAGATGCTGGTATCCCGGTGAAAGCAGCTGATAGTTACACTTCCTCCTTTGTTGATAACCGCATCTCTGAGAGCATGGTTCCTGATCTTAGCAAGGTTCGAATTGTTATTTATTTTGTTGTTGGTTTTATCGCTGTTGAGTGTTGATTTTATATTATTGACTGAAGTTCTCCCTAAATCGATATTTTCGTTGATCAAGAGACAGTTTTAATAAAGCCGTTTGAGGTATTTGAGGTATTTGTTACATTTGCATTTTGAATTGTACTCAATTTTGAGCTCGTTCATCGATGATCTCATTTTTGCGGCTGAAAGCTATGGAAAAAATGATAACGACCGTATCCTTAGTATTGCAAAGGAACCCTTCAAGGCTCCATGAATAACACAAAGCTCCGTGCATGTGCTAAATTCAATGTCACTGTCGGTTTTTAGCGGTTTAAGACTGTTCAGCGATTTCCATTTCAAAACGAAGTTCAGTTTCTTCAGTGAAGTCCATTCCTAAATTACGATCCACAAATCCATACCCAATGCATACATCTCACAATTACATGACAACTTAATTTCGAGCTAACCTTTAAGCATATTTACCTTTTAGTATGACCTCACCATGACACTGGCCTTGACAGTTGACAAATACGTTGTTGGTGCGAGATAACTGCCAACTGTGGGAAGGAATCCTATTAATATGTGATATTTTTAGAGTGTGCTGATAGATCTGGGGATTACAATTATCGGCGATGTAATAGCAATCCTGAAACACGCTATACATGTGACGGAGGAGGCTAGTGCTGAGAGAAAGGAGAGAAACTCAAAGAAACAGAAACCTGAGAAAAGGTGCCATTTTATTCTAGAATATTCACGATAAATACGTAATTATTTCTTCGAAAATTCTAGATTTCACTGATGGGTCAATCCGGCAAAATCTAGACTTTTGACAGCTGACCAAGACAAATTTAGGTAATTCAAGCGGATACCGCTAGTCGCTACCGGTAGGGCGCCGGTCGGGCATCATCCTAATTTCGGTATTGAATAGGTCGTCATATCAGTATCACTCGAAACGAACGTGATACAAGGTTAATTGCACTATGATCTGGTCATGTGTTGGAGATCATATCTTTGTTTGGAGATCAAATCCCAAGTAGTGTGATATGGCAGCGGATAGCATTATATATTTTATAATACTAGAGGGACTATTCTGATGATAATATAACTACCCTGTGGCACCCGACCGGTATCCTCTCCAACTACACAAATTTATGTGTTCATGTATCATAGTAATACATATTTCATCACTCCAGAAGACCCAGTTCTGAGAGGAAAAGTAAAAAAGTTGAGCCAGAAAAGAAAGCAGAGACTATCCCAGCTCCTCTAAAGAAAACTGAAGAAAAACAAGCTGCGAAGATTTAACCAACTGGTTTTGGCATGTGTCGGTCAAATTATAGATTCAAATACAGGACTCGATGATAATTAGCATTACCATGTAGGAACTGATGAGTGTGTCATCTCCAATACCAATAAACCTGTTCGTTATTGAGCTCAGTCTTAAGCTTATAATATAATAAGTACTTATAAAAGCATTGAACATTGATATTATCCACATAAGTTTATGATTCCGAAGAAACAATACTCAATATTCGTGTTTTTGTTTCTAAGTTTGACCTTTCAGATAACGACAACCCTCTTTAGAATTGTCAGAATAATGATCATTGGACTAAAGAGTTAACTCGCAACGACAGCTCCGCATGCGGTTAATTTTCAAAATAATTGTAATATCGTTATACTTTTAGTATTGTAATTGATATTTTGAACTTAAACTTAAATTTACTGTATGTTTCGGTGCTGAAATTGCTGTCAGTTGAAGTGGAAATCCAGTTTGAATTTGTATTCAGGCTTTGTAAAGTAAAAAGAGAGAAGACCATCCTCAAAGTCGGACACAACACAGAGAGAAAACCCACCCAACCCCCTACAAGTGAGAACGTATAATTTGAACTATCTGATTTTGTAACCTACCATTTTATCCTCATGCTGGTTTGTTGGCAGTGTTGTCGGTCAAAATTGAAAGATCTCAAATAACAAGAGACGCGATGATTCTGCATTACCATTTAGGGAATGATGACAGTGTGTCATAATACCCAATCAAGCAACCCTTGTTCGTTATTTTGAGGCTCAGCTCTTCTTATAGCTTTATAGATATAATAAGTTCTTACTAAAAGCAGTCTGAACATTGACTACTACATCCACAAATTTATGATATCTGAGAAACAAGTACTTAATTCTAGATTTTGCTTTCTAGTTTGACCCTCTCTCAGAAACAGACAAACCCCCAAGAAAAGTCAGAATAACTGATCAGATAATGACTAAAGAGAGAACTTCAGACGAACCAGCTCCGCAACAGGTTAATTTTCAAAATGATATGTACATGATCGTATTATTTTAGTGAACAAATATTTTGAACTTAAACTTAAAATTTAGCTGGTATGGTTTCACGGTGCTGAAATTGCTGTCAGATGAAAGTGGAAATCAGTTTGAATTTGATCAGGCTATTGTAATAGTATCAAGGTATATAATTATCATCTTGCTTTACTTCTAACTGTTGTTATTGTACAGGAAGTGAAGCGATCGAAAGTAAAGAAAGAAGTACAGTCAACGCGAACTGTATCAGTTCCAACCAAACCAGAACACAAATCCAGGAGAACCGTCTCCAGTACCCCTCCAAAAGTTGATAAAACTCAAGTCAGAAAAGCAAGCACGCATGTAAAACAACGCGTGACACCCATCGTAAAACACGTGCACTTGGCCCAGACTGTGAAACACGTGACTACATCAGTGAAACATCACGTGACTCCAGCTACTGTGAAACACGTGACTATTATGGAGGATAGAGAACAAAGGGTGAGACCGGTGGTTCAGAAAGCTCACCTTGTAAAGCGACATCACGAGGAACTGGAATCTGAGGTATTGTAACCAAGTAAAAACGTTACCAAACGATGGAATAACAGACTGTACAGTCGGTCAATCACAAAATAACAACTTGTTCATAATATCTTAAGATTTATTGTAATTCCAGTCACCTGAACACTTCAACAAACTAAAATCTTTCCATCTCCAGGACTCTGACTCATCAAGTGGACAGCACTCCCCCGTATCACGTCGTGTGTTTGGTGGTGCTGCGCGCAACACGGAGGTGGTGTCACGCGACGTGGCAGAGCTGCCGTCACGTGGGCGAATACCACGTGACTCATCCGAGTCAGAGGGTGATAGGTCTCCTGTTTTCGTTAGGAGACCTCCTGCGGACTCCTACTCCTCTATACAGGTAGCTAATGATAGACCGTCGATTAATTAGTCAATTAATGAACTAATCACATAGACTTCTCCTGCTAAATAAAATGTTGTTATATGGTCTTCCATTTTCTAATTCGCTTTTTATTCCCAGTCTTCAAATGAACCAGTGATGACGCGACGGTTACCAGAAGAGCCGTGCACCATAACACGACTTTTACCGGAGGATCCCCGCGCGATCTCGCGTAACGTCTCTGGCATTACTCGCAATGTGTCTGGAAACGTTACGCGCACGGTGCAAACAGTGCGCTGTGTCTCGCCTGATTCTACTACTGATACTCCTCCTCCTAAACCGTACGTTACGATCCTTAGAGAGAAAATTTCAGAGTTCTAGCAGATAATAATATATGACTTAAACTTGGACTTCTTTACTTGCTACAATCTGTAATAAACCGCTTTAAGCCATTAGACCCTACCAATGATGTTACAATCTGTACTGTAGTTGGTTGGTTTTTTAGCACCCACATTACCTCTCACTGTGGTGTAAAGTGTGTCTCTCCTACAGGAAGCAAACTACCACTATTATCCTCAACACCAAAGGGAAATGTAGTGTCAGACCTGTATCTCCTCCGGTAGACATGAAGGTTTGTCTTCAAGGAGCAGTTGTTGATAATTCTGTTATTTTGTGCTTGCTTGTCTAGAGTACGTGATAATCGGAATGCGTGATAAATTGAAAACGTGATAAATTGAAAACGTGATCAAAGTAGACTAATAGTTATAGAAATAATAGATGTGCACTTTTGTGAAGATGTGCTATTTATAGTGTATCTTACGTCTGTTAAGTTAGTAATGTTACTTAAAAATATATTTATCAAGATGTGTTATTTCTCAGCTTGTGTTATCTCTCAGCTTGTGTTATCTCTCAGCTTGAGTTATCTCTCAGCTTGTGTTATCTCTCAGCTTGTGTTATCTCTCAGCTTGAGTTATCTCTCAGCTTGTGTTATCTCTCAGCTTGTGTTATCTCTCAGCTTGTGTTATCTCTCAGCTTGTGTTATCTCTCAGCTTGTGTTATCTCTCAGCTTGTGTTATCTCTCAGCTTGAGTTATCTCTCAGCTTGTGTTATTTCTCAGCTTGTGTTATCTCTCAGCTTGTGTTATCTCTCAGCTTGTGTTATCTCTCAGCTTGTGTTATCTCTCAGCTTGAGTTATCTCTCAGCTTGTGTTATCTCTCAGCTTTTGTTATCTCTCAGCTTAAGTTATCTCTCAGCTTGTGTTATCTCTCAGCTTGTGTTATCTCTCAGCTTGTGTTATCTCTCAGCTTGTGTTATCTCTCAGCTTGTGTTATCTCTCAGCTTGTGTTATCTCTTAGCTTGTGTTATCTCTCAGCTTGTGTTATCTCTCAGCTTGAGTTATCTCTCAGCTTGTGTTATCTCTCAGCTTGTGTTATCTAACAGGTAGATAGGAAGCGGAAGGTACTACCCCGTAACGATGGTAAAACCACCCTAACTAGAGTGGTACAGAGACATCTAGACGCCAGTTCTCCCCGACATTCTCCCAAACGTAACAAGAATAGTTCCCCTAAAATGGCTGATCACCAAGATACGGGCGGTTTGAAGTCTGAGAAATATAACTCTTTCAGAAGGTGGGTTTTTGAAATTATCTAGTGAGCTAGTGGAGTGTGTATGGCTTGGAGAGTTGGCTCCTTGCATTTACTTGTTTATCCCATGAACATTAGAAAATAAAACTGTTAGAATGGACACTTTATTATTCACCAAGCAGACAATTTTGTTGTGTCACTAAATGCTTACCCTAAATTTCACAGCGATGCCGAAATATCTGAGCTACTCAGCAACAATAAGTTCAGGAGCGAGGATGATTCGTTCGACATTGTCCAAGAAAAGGTGTGTACAGTTAACTTTTACTTCTTTTCGTGGGCTAAATTAACCATTCACCATTGGCATTTGGCCAATTAATTTACCGACCGTTTAATCTATCCATGTGTTACGTGCCTCTTATTTTCACCAATCATATTGTGCGGATTGCGCGCGCCTCAACTACCAGCAGACATTTGCCAAAATGTTAGATGCTTTACCGCGCACGTCACGATAATACGCGCGCGCATTCTAGATCAGAACTAAAATCTGCAACGTACGTCGCGTCCCCAAATCTATAGATTCATCCAGTCATTGGCCTTGCTTCCATGCAGCAGTGTATTGATGGATAGTGAAAGTTATGAACCATACTATAGTGAATATTATTGGGTATTCGGTACTCATGCCTTATGGGGGGGGGGGGGGGGGGGGGGGGGGGGGCACAGTGGTCCGCGAAGGGGGGTCAGGCTATAATAGACCCCTTCTAGGTCATTTTGTTGTCTCAGGATATGTTTCCTGGAGTATTTTCGCCCAAAAAGACGTTTAAAAGCACTTAGAAGACCTCAAAATATACCAGAAGGGCTGAAAATGAGAAATCAAAAAATTTATTTTTTCCAAAAATACCCTGAAAATTTTAGAATTTGGCCGCTAAATTTGTTTAAAAGGCCTGACTCAAAATTCTACTCCACAACTTAAAGTCCTCAGGCAATTCTACGTTGATTCTGAAAATTTCATTAAAAAATATTGAAACCCTATTGAGTTATATATTATTTTGAGCGACATCAGTTTCGCGAATGTCGCGAACTGAGATATGGGCAATTTTGTTCATTTTTTGCCATTATTTGAACACAGAATCCACAGTTAGGTAGATATTGAGCTGATATTCATAGAGAATGTGCAGTATAGGCTTACCTAACATATAACATTTGTCTCATCCAAAAATATTGATAATTGGTCAAATTATGGGCTAAAATCTATAAAAATCTATCAAAATTGGCGCGTATGCCCAAATACGGTCATATAGTATTTTGCTCATAACTCAGCCAATTTTTATCAAATTATGATAAAACTTTATATTTGTGTTCAGGAGACTAGAAGCTACAAGTAAAGCACCCCAAAGCATGGTTTTGAGCTTGTTAAGGTGATTTTGCATAATTGGGATAATTGGGACCAAATATGGGCGTGGCTGATTTAAAAAAAAGTCCCAGCTTGTCCCAGGTTGAATTTTTTATGGCTAGTTAGATAATTATCTGAACTTTAGGATGCCATAGGTGGTTTAGGTGCACTCGAGCGCACTACCTAACATTTTTTTATTTTAAAACCAAAATTTTAGTTAAAAAGTGGGTCTAAAATTTGAGGGCAAATGAAAAATCAACCAAAATAGATATCAACATGAATTTTTTTTCATTAGACAGGTATTCAACACGTACAACAGCAACAACAAGAGTAAGTGAATGCAAATATAGACTGCTTTATGAATATCCAGTCAGATGTAGGCCAATTTTTACTGCCAATTGCTTGAATTTCGGACTGTGTAAAAAAATCGTTGATATTATCGTACATCATTTCCACATTTTGAAAGATTTTTAATTATCGTCTTCAGCATATGTACCGGCTGATAATTTATGATAAATAACAAATAAATAAACAGAATTTCATGATACTCGATTTTGGTTCAATTATAGCCTGGTGGACCACTGTGGGGGGGGGGGGGTGTCATGTCCCCCCCCCCCCTTATGTCATATTGCTTTCAGAAACTAGCCCAGATCAGAAGAAAAGTGAGGTCTCGTAGCTTTTCAGATGGTGAGTGCGGTTATCAGGAATTATTAGCAGGAGCATTTTCAGCAATTACTTGTTGACAGACGTTGCAAAGTTACCTTAGATTAGGGATCATTCACATATTACGTCAGCACCTAGGGAGATGGAGTGTTGTTGAAAATGGGGAAATGCTGACGGAAATGTAACTGAGTGTAAACTTGCTGACTGAGGGGAGCTTAAAATCCTGCTGATGTCATATTTAACGGTCTGTTACGTAATTGTTGGAATATGTTTTAATATTCTTTATGTTCGCCAGGACGGACCAAGACCTCGTTGAGCAGCAGATTAGGATCAGCAAGAGGCTCTGATCTCCGTAAATCTCTTCCGACCAAATTTGGAGGTGTTGCTGCCAGAGTTTTTAGCGAAAACAGGTAAACTTCTAAATTTTATGCGGAGAATGCAAAACGATCATGCCAATAGCTTCTATAAAATAGAAAAACCCTTACAAAAGAACGTTGTGAACTTGCTCGTGAGGAAGCCCGTGTAGAAACAGGTTAATTTGTTATGCAGTTTTGACTACAGCTTGAACCAATTACACTGATAATAAACACAATTTTTCAGGTTATCTTCGGCCCGCGGTAACAGAGCTTCTCTGCGAAAAACCTCCGGACGAATCTCAGAGAGAATTAGCTCAGGACGAACTTCTGGTTCATTAAGATCTCAGGATAAAGAGTAAGTTGTTGAAATTTATTGTCTCAGCCTTATAACCTGGTTTATGCCTTTCGACCACTATTGTTCTCACACATGTCTATTTTCAGACGGTCAGTATTTAATCGGTTGGGGGACTAACTTCGGAGTACAACGAAGTGACGAAGACGCCGAGACGGACCTTGTAGATAAATTTATGTACTATTCAGTGTAAAAGACTCCTGTTGTGATATCTCAAGATGAACATTAATATTCATTATCACCAGTGACATGTAGACTTGGATAATTGTAACAGTCGGGACATCATTTTGTAATATCGATCGAAGATTTTCAGCTTCGCCTAATATTTTGTGCTGTATGCTTCTCTGCAAATTTCAATTTGATGAGATATTATCCTATTTTAATTGGGTAGCAGTTTCTCCATGACGTTCAACTGATAGAGTTTTAATTGAAAGTTATAACTTATTTTTAATGGGCTGGACAGACATTTTATTTGAACGAGTATAACATAATTAAGTTGCTGTTATGATAATTATTGAGAGCTTTAAAATGTTCGTTTTATTTATTGATTCAGGAGGAGATCATTGTCATTTGGCTGTGCTATTTATGAATTTCCCAGATAAAAAGCTTCGGGCGATGATCTCCCTCTCATCTTTGCAACCAAAGTAGACGATAAATTGGTTAAAATAAGTTAAGTCTGATCAGAATCACTATAAAAATCGTTCTTAAATACAATAAGTTAACGCAGCACTTAGCAAAACTGTTAAAAAGTCGCCTCAACAAAGTTGGAATAAAAGGCTGTCCGTGTCAGCTTCATGTTACTGACAAACATCTCCAATTTCGGGCGGTTTCTTCAATTAAAATATGCATAATAGGGTTATCCGTGTTAATCCGCTCGATAATAAATAAATGAGGGGAGCGAATTAAACACTACTTCCATTCTATTAGAAATGGATAACGGTATTAGATGTAGATCTAAAAAACAATGCAATCGAAGTGTAACCACCCATTTTTGATGTTATACAGTAAAATCGAAGCCAACGGACAGCTTAACCACATAAAACTTTCACATAAAAAACCGGTTGTGAAAAGTATTTAGTTTACGGGCAACAATCGGTCAGCAATCTGCATCCATCCACAAATAAAATCGCTTCAGCTAACCGGCCAAAATGAACCGGTAAAGCTTCCGCCTTCCATACCTAAAGTGCACAGTAGCAAGTCGTTACTTCCTTGTAGTCATTGTGATGATTATTCGGTGGCTGTTACATCACATTGTTGAAAATGTTTTCCCAAGAAATCGAATAAAACGATATATAAAACCCTAGTGATAACAAAGCCAATAAAAAACCGTTACAATAACTTAAAAAGTTAGATTTAAATAGGATCAGAGTTAAATAAATTATGTAAAAAGACTGAACCCCCGTCAATTTTAAAATATGTCAGTAGGGTTCTTTTTTCAAGCGTGTCGACTTTGCGAATTCTTCGGATGCCTTCGCTACCATGTGACCTGCAAGACAAATAATGATCAGAAAATCCAGTTCAGTGGGACGACCACGTGTTGATGGACGTGTAGAAAAAGCAATCGCGCGCATTCATAAATCAGAAAATTGAGCTTTTTTATGAGACTTTGGCTTCGCGCGTTCCAAAAGCCAAAGTTACCGCGTTCAATTCATTGTGACCGACGACTGAATAGGGGCCTCACCTGATGGCGTCTTGAAATGACAAAGATTTAATTCCTTATTCCGATGCGTCAGCTTTACTTCAGGTATTTTGACAATCCGCTGCCGTGTCGGGAATACAATTTCTCCCTTCTTAAGCTGCAAGAAGATATCAAAGTGAGTGTTGAGTAGATTATAGAAAAGCAAATATTCAATTTGTCAACAAAAAATTGATCTCGTCAGGAAGCATAGGTAAATTACCAAAATCGTTATTTCTTTTGAATTACGTAATTTTATAAATGACATTCACCTGTTTGATGAACTTATATGGGCGCTTTGTAGCAGCATGTTTGAGATTACCAATCTTATCGATATCTCTCAACGCAGTGGCTCTCTGAGCTTCCAGAGATACGTACGTGTTCAGCAACATCTGGTACCTAACACAATTACCGCTGGTTAGTGGTTATCTAACATTTTAACTGGATACGAAAAGTAGTTCAATTATTTTAAAGCGGGCGTGAAACGTTTATCAGTGGAGTGTAGCTGCATGTTGAAAAAGTGAAATATTACGTTGTAGTTACACTTAACACGCACGCACCATGGGAGAGAAAGAGAATCAACGTCTAGAATATGTAAAGGTATTTAACAGAATCCTAACGTTTTCCAACAAAATGCCCGGTGCTATGTACGCAGACGGAATGATAATAAGAAATGATAATTCAACTTTTAAAAGTGCATACAAAGTATGCCAAGCTACAAAGTAAATCGTAACAATCATTAGTACAGATTAACACTGGTAAAGTGGTAATACTTACGTTTCAGACGCCTTTAGAATTTCAGGATCAGACTCAAAAAGGGGCTTCTCAACACTACAATAAAGGTGTTTCTGATATAACATATCAATTACACTATTACCGTCTTTCTCTTTCCTCCGACATTTCCCGTCTTTCAACCTAGTGAAATCATACGATATCACGTCATCGGATGAAAAAATCGCGCAAGAATTTTGGGAATTTGAAACATGATTACCATAATTGTGAGATAAAACTAAACGAGGAGAGAAAATGAGAGGCTTACGTTAGTCGGTTGGGACGGTACGGTGGTAGCTCGATCTTAGCTTTAGGAACGGGACAAGACCATTGCTTGGCAGGGGTATCACATACCGCACTGAGGAAAATAGTTTAGATTCTCTCGAGAATTGAGATAATATATTCCATGATGAGATTAATCTCTGACGAATTTTACCCGAAAACGAAAGTGTATAGCTTCGTTTCGAAGACAACAGTACGTAGGCAAATAAATCATGCTAAACACAACGTCATGTTATCAAATTCGGTTCGTACACCGAATTTAACCGCATTGTAAGATTGTGAGAGAAAGGAATGTTGCCTACCGTTTGGAGGTGAGATCAGGAGACGTTTTGACGTTTTGATTGACGTAGAAAGACCTTGAGGGTAGTTTGGGGGAATGAGAATTAGCATTGAGTTTCAGTTGCTGGTTCAGGACCATTTGACTGCCGTGACTCGTGTCCGCCTCCGGATTCTGAAAACGTGACTGTTAAATTGTTACAATATAAATCTGGGTATTTTGACGCAACTGTTGGTTGTAAAGTTTGTAAAGTTTTGGTGGTGGTACGATAGTAACTATTCAATAAAATCTCTCAGAACAAACTATTTTAGTGTCTTCTACATACAGTACCCTCGATTTGCCAGGTACTTATTCGATTTGCCGGGCATTAGTTTCTTATTTGGATTTGTGCGTAATTTGATGATCTTACCTCTGATGATCTGACCTCAATTGTACAATTTTCCCTGTTAAAGTGGCTCGGTTTAATCGAGGATTTACGTAAGAAAAATTTCTACAACCTCAAGATAAACCAAACATATCATACCGGGTTGTTCTTGTATCTGTTCGCCACATCGTACACCGGTTTAACCTCCGTAACCAACTCCTCTCCATCAAAAGAGGGTCTGTCACAGGGTCCGTACCTCACTCCGAACATCCTGGGCCCTCTTTCCATGGACCCGATCACTGCTCCTTGCTTCAACTTACTCACCGACTCTTTTCTGGGGCACGTCAGAGTTCAGATAAGCTCTTACTTTCTTAAACAAGCAACCATTTGTTGTCACGGGGAAAGTATTGGCACTTGATTAATTAGAATTAAAGTTAGCAGATTCTAAATTACAATTACCTGAAAATAACTCACCAGGGGCTAGTTACAAGATTTATGACAGTGCACTTATCAACTGAGATCTAGATTTAACTTTAAATTAAATAAGATTTTTAAAAACATTAACTTACTTCTCCACTTCAATGATTTCCTTCTCCCGGTTCTTGATCAGGATATCAGCCTGCTCGTAGTACTTCTTTAGGACGTTTTTGTTGGGTTTCACGGTAACTGTCTCGGTCACCTCCTTCTCCTTAACATTTTCTGGCGCCACTTTCGCAATCTAAACAATATATCAGATTAAGTTTTAAACAATTTGCATTCTTGTAGATGAGCATACCTCTGAGGATTATATGTTACTGATAAGATAAGAGAGGATTATATGTTACTGATAAGATAAGAGAAACTTTGGCAGTCAAAAATGTTCAATGTCACACCGAAAGAAAAACATATAATTGATTTTATCAAGACAAGCATACAGAAATTCTCACATTCGGACTTACAGGAATAACCCTGCAAACTTGAGACCCTGTCTTGCGATGAGCTTTAGGTGAAGAAGACACCGAAGACTCGCTGATCTTCCGTTTGGTTACATTCCCTGCAGCAGCAGCACTCTGTGGACCACTCCCTGGTAAACTCTTACTCGGCACAATGTTAACATCACGTGACCCAGCACTCCCTGAACCACTTGCTGTGTGGCGCCTTAAGTTGGTTTTACCCGAGCTTCCTGGCACTGATTTACTTGGCACAATGTTGCTGGGGTACCGGTAACTTTTACCAGAGCTAGAGTGAACAACTACATCACTCTCCACCACGTGGGTTGTCTCCACAACACCACCAGACCCTCCAACATCTCCAATCTTTACAGGAACACCGGGTATAGGCACCGCTCCAGCACCGCTCAGCGCTTGTGAGACGCTGGTCAAACCAACTTGAGCTGGAGCACCGGGCTGAGACGGGATTTGTGAGCTATTGGAACTGCAGGTGTCACTGCTACTGCTAGGTCCGGGACTAAAGGACGAGTGGAGGGGGCTAGGATCTGTGGAGTAGCTGGATAGGGAGTAGGCTGGTGATGGGGCCACCTGAAGGAATGTGTTTATTAGATGACACACTTAGATAAACAACTGTTTAATGGTTACTTTTAATGATTACTTTTTGTAGTATGCCATAAATTTCATTATCATTGCTCCTAAAACAATGTTTCTTCTAAACAACTTCCAAATCAGTACTTTGACTGTGGGTTTTGACCATTGATTATATGAATTACCAATCTATTAAACAATTAACAGTACATTTATTTGATTTAGTATGGCACTGTCACTCTCTCATGACACGAGCGTAATGTTACAAGGGTAATTTCATCACTATCAGCTTCATTGAAAAATAGGGTTTTGACCACGAGGAATTTGGTCAGTAACCATACTAACCAAACTACAAAATGGTTAGTAATGGTGAGTAATCAAACTACATCCATATTCTGTCGTTACAAACCTGCTTGCTCTCCTCAATGGTTACAAAGTCGTTGTTGCTAGGAAAGTTCAGGAACTCCTCAACATTGAATATCTCCGTGTCATCAGGCAGGTCGTGTGGACTAGAACCCGAGCTGCCAGGACCAGGTAGACTCACACTGTTCGATACTCGCAGTTTCAAACGTAGTCCTTCTCTTTCTTGCTGTGGTTTCATACACGGGTTACAGATGGAAATTTAAGGAAAACTGAGTAAGTCAGTAGACAAGAACACAACATAGGGACGTGGACTATACAACTGAACGGTCTAAAAAGATCTATTATCAGAGACTAAATCAGAGTCTTTACGTAGAGAACAGCATGATCAGAGCTTGCAGTGCTAATACAAAAGATACAATCTCACAGTACAACTGGTACGAGAACATTGTAAGTGTTGTGATATGCGACACTTGGCACGTTATCACAGGAGTCACTGAAGTTATATATCAAATGTTGATAAGCCTAAATACCTTAAGGTTGGAGTCAGGAACTATTTCATACGACTGTCCGGTAAGATCATCGTAGTCAGGCAGCGTGGGTGAAAGGGGAAATCCGAGGAAATCGTTGGTAAATTCGTCATAATCGCTGAAAGTACAATTTAATTGTTTGAATTTTGCAGTTTTTCCGAGAAACATTTTTCGCAGAAAAAAGGTGAAATTACTGTGAAATTTTGTTAGGTAATTTTATTTTATTGATAAGAAGAGAAATGCCATGACTCATTCCATGACAAACGGAAGACAATTATGGCATGAACGAATACAACAGCCTTTATGTACCGTTTTTGTCATAGTGAACATCATTAATCATACATATTTAGTCATGAGAACTGTACCGAATAGTGATCATTATTATAATAATATAATATATGTATAGTAAAGTACAGCTTTGAATATATCATGACTTGTACATTATGTATAATAATTGTACATTTGCAGTGATCAAATACAACTGAAAGACTTACTTGAATTGTTTGCTTTCATCAAAGAAAGCATCGTGGAGTGAGTTAGAGGAATTTATATCGTCAGATGTAAATCCCAGTGCCTCAGTCTGAGGCAGTAAAAACGTCATATCTTTTCCATTGCTACCCTCTGTTGAAATATTCTTTAGGATACTTACTTTTGATAATTTCATTGTTGATACATTAAGAACGACAAATTTTGTCTACCATAAATTTAGTCAAAATTGTTGTAAACCAGATTTATTGAGACTAAAGTTTCGGCGACTAATTTAAAAGCAGACCAAAATTTCAGTAGAGCATATATGACATGACTATTATTGAGCTTTAATATAAAAGCAATTATATTGATTATAATTGTTTATAATTAATATAAGACATCACTGTTCGTACTGCTGAACTACTTTGACTATTAGACGTGTAATCCACTGCTTTTATGCTTTCACATTCTCTTACTTCCTTTTCCCATCAGGCAGTACTTGCATCTAGTTTAACTCATTGAAGTAATTGTGTGAAACGACCCCTTCTAGAATTTAGCCTTAAAAACCGCTGCTATATGTTATAATAAAATAAATTAAATGGAATGGAGAATGGTCTCGAAAAGACGAAAAATTTGACTAAAATTGTTGCAGGCTAAAAATTTGTGACTAAATTGATTGGCCTTAAGGGGGCCGGGGGGGGGGGGGGGGTCTTCATCAAAATTCTCTCGAAATTGATTTTATAGTTGTTTCTGATAGAGGGGTGTGATATCTATCAGCTGCTTTTGGTCCCGTGGAAAAATATTTTTGAGATAGGCCTTAGAAGATTTTTTATTCAATTTTGAAAATCTTGGACCTGGAAAAATCGTAAAAAAATGAGGTCCAAGATTTTCAAAATTGAATAAAAAATCTTCTAAGGCCTATCTCAAGATTCGGCTCGACAGATATCTTCTAAATGATCCATAGAACCTATCCTGAAAGTTTCAGGGTGATTGCTCAAAAAATGTAGGAGAAGATAGATTTTTAGACTCGATTTTCAGGGCGCGCGATTGAAAATCGCTCGCGCAATACAATTACACATAAGCGCTGACCTTTGACTGGCGATAATTTTGGGAACAATATTTTTCCATGGGACCAAAAGCAGCTGATAGATATCACTCCCCTCTATCAGAAACAACTATAAAATCAATTTCGAGAGAATTTTGATGAAGACCCCCCCCCCCCCCGGCCCCCTTAAGGTACAGCAGTCTGCAACTGTTAAAATTGTTGGGTAGTGCAGTAGAGGGACAAAAATATGACCTTTTTTGTACTCTGTAGGAGCTACCCAACTGAAAGACTGTAAGTAGCAGGAACAGTTTTGTTATATTATTATTATATTATACATATCTTTGGGTGATATAATATAATGATGCAGAAACGTGCGAGCACGATTTATATTTTTACTAATTCTATTAGGTTTAAACAGTTCTGTCCATAGTACTTTCCAGCTAGAAAGTAAAACTTTTAAAACTAGATTCCGTTAGATGCTTGTAAAAGAGAAGTGTACATGTATTCTTACACGATTTCAATAGAACAAAATCAATATTCCAATAACATTAGAGTGTGTAAAGTAAGGTCTGTCAGAAACTTTACATCTGCATTTTAATGATTGGAACCTCAAACCTTTTCTTTAATGCCCTGCCTGCCAGCCACAGAAGGAGACATCTCCAGAGTAATAGGTATGCATGCTCACTCACCAGAAACTCCTGTCATTGGTTTGAAAAATTCAAGGGGAATCAGGTAGTATCTTTAAATGTAGTTTTGATGGTTCCTGACACTTGAAAGTTGAACTCCTTCTTGACAATCCAGTCTTTGGCAGGTGCTCACCAAGGTAACATAATAACTAATGACAGCCATCACACTATAAGTTTGTCAGCAATATAATCTGATGAATGAAAGAAAACAAGAGCATGCAAAGCCATCATAGCAAATGAAAACTGTGTGGAAGAATCTCTTGTGTGATGCAATTTGTTTGAAGGTAGCTTCTTACTGGGTAACTTCTATACTAGGCTTTACGAATCTTTCTCCTGCACCACCCATCTCTACAGAACAGCATCACAAGATCTCTTACTGGAAGAGATTAACAGGGTACACCTTGATAATGTTGTTCAGACATGCTAGCTGCTGCCTTCAGAATTTAATCACTCATATCTGTGATCACAACATAATGGTTCAACACAAACCTCAACCCTTCTTGATGTCAGTGTCAAGTCCCATGCCAAAAAAAAACAGACTGGGAAGTTATTCTTCAACAAATCCCTGCACACTGCACAAAAGGAACTCCATTATCGGGGGGGTGTCATGTCCGTCTATGTCCGCCTATGTCCTGTCCTTTTTGGATTCTATGAGACAACGGACGTGTTTTTTGGGACATTGGCGGACACGGACGGACATTGACGGACTCGGACGGACATTGGCGGACTCGGACGGACATTGGCGGACCCGGACGGACATTGGCGGACTTGGATGGACATTGGTGGACATTAGCGGACATTGGTGGACATTAGCGGACAAACATTTTGAGGACTGAAGAGTACTGAAGAGTACTGAAGAGTACTGAGGAGGATGGCTGAGAAGGATGGCTGAGGAGGATGGCTGAGGAGGATGACTGAGGAGGATGACTGAGGAGGATGACTGAGAGGGAGGAGAAGGATCAGGAAGACCCAGGAGGAGGAGGAGGAGGAGGACCCAGAAGGAGGACCTAGGAGGAGGAGGAGGAGAACTGAGGAGGATGACTGAGGAGGAGGAGGACTCAGGAGGAGGACTGAGGAGGACTGAGAAGGAGGAGGACTGAGGAGGATGGCTGAGGAGGATGGCTGAGGAGGATGACTGAGAGGGAGGAGGAGGAGGAAGAGGAGGAAGAGGACTGATGAGGAGGAGGAGAAGGACTGAGGAGGAGAAGGAGGACCCAGGAGGAGGAGGAGGACTGGGGAGGAGGAGAACTGTTGAGGACTGATGAGGAGGACTGAGGACGAGGAGGAGGAGTAGGAGGAGGACTGAGGAGGGGAGGAGGAAGAGGACTGGGGAGGATCAGGAAGACCCAGGAGGACCCAGGAGGAGGAGGAGGAGGAGGAGGACACAGGAGGAGGAGGAGGACTGAGGAGGAGGACTGACGATGACTGAGAAGGAGGAGGACTGAGGAGTACTGAGGAGGATGGCTGAGGAGGATGGCTGGGGAGGATGGCTGAGGAGGATGACTGAGGAGGATGACTGAGAGGGAGGAGGAGGAGGACTCAGGAGGAGGACTCAGAAGGAAGAGGAGGACTCAGGAGGAGGACTTAGGAGAAATGAGAAGGAGGACTGAGGAGAACTGAGGAGGATGACTCAGGAGGAGGACTCAAGAGGAGGAGGAGAAGGAGGGGGACTGGGAGAGGACTGGGGAGGAGGAGGACTGATGAGAAGGATGAGGAGGAGGACCCAGGAGGAGGAGGACTGAGGAGAAGGATGAGGAGGAGGACTGAGGACTGAGGAGGAAGAGGAGGAGGATGAAGAGGAGGAGGAGGACCCAGGAGGAGGAGGAGGACTGGGGAGGAGGAGGACTGTTGAGGACTGATGAGGAGGACTGAGGACGAGGAGCAGGAGTAGGAGGAGGACTGAGGAGGGGAGGAGGAAGAGGACTGAGGAAGATCAGGAAGACCCAGGCACAGTGTGCCCAGAGGCTGCAAAAAGTATTTTGGGTGATATTTGAATTGAAATTTCTATTTTTGCAGGCAAAATTCGATGTTTTTATCATTTTTGAAGGACAAAATTTCGTTCGCATGGTACCAAAGTGCAGAATCAACTTCCAGATCGCAGTTTTGGGAACTATTAACTAAGTTATTTGTTATGCCTGATACCTTACATTGACAGAAAAAACATAATGGGGAACCAGAATTTGTCATCTGACACCTTCCCATGGCCCTAAGTACCCCCAGCCTCCCTCAAAAAATTTTACTGCCAAAATATGGGGATATCACTATTTTACCCTTAACTAATCTTGGGGGCAGTTTAAGAGTCTCCACATGTGTTTTAAAGTAACCTTTAGGTATGGTTATGCCTAAGAATGATTATTTGGGAACTATTTTCAGCTACTGCCCTAAAATTTTGGTAATTTTATTGAAATTAGGGTCCTTTAAAGTTAAAAAAGGGCTAAATGTACCATTTTTAGACCTTAAATTGCAAAAATAATGATTTCTGAACTGTTTGAGAGCATCAAGATTGCTTTTTAAGTGTTTTTGGTCATTGTAAGGTCCGGAAACACTTGTTGAGGTGATTTAAAGGCTTTAAAAAAGAAAATATCAGCAATTTGGGGCTAAATTACCCTATTTTGTAACCGCGTAACTCAATTTAGCTCAAAATAACATTGTTTTTGTCCCAGAAAATTCGAATTTTGATCAAAAGCCATGTATGGAGATATCGAATGAAAGCTCTTGATAACCTCTTTCCATTTAAAACACAAAGAAGTAGTTTATAATTGATATAAGTGATAAAATGGTCTAAAAATGGAATCAAAAAGTCCTAAAATTCACAAAATTTCTGTCTAATCTTAAACCTTTGATGGCCCATAAAAAAATCATGCCACAATATCACACTGTAAATTTTTCTGAGATTACTCTAAATGTCCTATACTTACAGATAGCGTAAATTATGGATGCTCACCAAAGTGAATTTGTCACTTATTTTTGTAATTTGTTCAAAAATATGGGAAAAAACGGCAAAAAAATGTAATTTTACACAAAAAATCAGGTTAAATCAATATATGAGGTCAAAAATCCTTCTAATCATCTTGAAAACCCCTTTAAACGATTTCTCATGCAATTTTAGGTTGGATAGGGTGGTTTTAAATTGAAAATAGGCTGGTTGAAGAAAAATACTGACTTTTTGCAGAAAATTGGGCTCGCGGGCACACTGTGCCAGGGGGAGGAGGAGGAAGAGTAGGAGGAAGCATCTAAATGTTATTTCCATTTTTGTCCGTTTTTGTCCATTTTTGTCCGTTTTTGTCCGCTCTATTTTTTGTCCGTTTTGAAAATATAGGGTACCGAACGGACAAAAAACATGATCCCCCTATAACAGCAAAAATTGAACATTTTATTTAGCAATTTAGGTGTCCATTAATGTCCGCCTATGTCCGCC